GTGCCTCCAAGGGGCGCAAGCACACGAGTTACTGAAAGAAAAATGTTTAAGTCTAAAAACTAAGGAAATGAAAATTACATGTTCTCTGTTCGAGAGTTTTGGATTCGGTCCTTTGCTTCTATGTCTTTTCTCCCTTTTATACTTCATGGACGATCTCTTTGTGATCAACCGCTCTAAAAACTGCTTGATCGTCCTATAACTGCCCACTTTCTTCGTAATGGCCAACTTGTCATGAAAACTACCTTTTTTAACTGCTGCCATTACTCTTCCTCGTTCAACCGCTTTCGATTGAGTTCCTTGAATCGTGAAACGTGATAGGGCTGCTTCAATAACTGCCTTGATAACTGCACTTCTTGATAACCACGACGCTTTATGTTGTTAAGACCTTGGGCGACTTGAAAATTTGGGCGAGAATAGAGTAACAGTTCTGGACGACTGTATGACACTCCATTCGCTCAGATTCTGGGCGACTTGCAAACTTGGGCGATGGCGTTACCGCGTTCTTGGGTCTTCATCTTGATTTGTTTGATTGGGCTTCGTTCTTTGGGCTGTCTGATTTGGGGATCCTCCAATTGGGCTTCACTCCTTGGGCTGTTCGAATTGGGCTGAATTTTTATGTGTCAACAGTTAGCTTCTCTAACATTTGGTTTTATTGTCCCCGAAGAAATATTTTGTTGAAGGTCCACTCCTGTCAAAATATAACGCGTCGAAATGTCAAAATAGATTAATATTTTCTCTCATTAATAAAAAAATGGATACCTCAAATTGTCAAAAGATGATGATCAATCTAAAGAACAAGTAGTTTGAGATAGCATGGGTGCTTTCTAACTGACTTGTCAAAATTAGATTAATTCCCTCTCACCAACCCTAACAAAATATATGATTGAGTAGTTGGCAATCACTATCCCTCCAACTCCTTTTGAGTACATCATACACCAAGGGCCTTTTCGTAATTTCAAAAAACTCATTAACAACAATATTGATATTCCAATCAAGGTCTATAAAATCATTTTTCAAGGGCGTTCTAATTTTCATCCTTGTTGTATCGATTAGCACGTCTGGTCTTTGATAATAATTTCGACCTAAAAGGTGATTTAAAAATAAATATATTATAAGTGCTATAAAATATTTTTTCCACGTTTAAAAGTATGAAAAAAGAATATTTTAACAATTTTTGTTACATAATTGTTATATTGAGAAAAGATTGAGGACTTAAGTGCAATTAATATCAGTGCCTCTTCAACCTCTCCTAATCCTTCAAGTATTATATATATTGCTGCTAATTATTATTCTCTCTGACTCTACTACAATGGACGGCGGCGCGTGCATAAATGACAGTCTTGGCGACGATGAGCTTCGGGCGGTGCTGTTAAAGTTGGAGCACGACAAGGACAAGGAAGTGTTTGGGCTGGTGTGCAAGAGATGGCTCCATTTACAGAGCACCGAGAGGAGGAAGGTTTGTGCTCGTGCCGGCCCTCACAAGCTCCAGAGACTCGCCGCTCGTTTCACGCGCTTGCACGAGCTTGATCTGTCGCAGTCGGTCTCGAGGTCGTTTTATCCTGGCTTCACTGACTCGGATCTTTCCTTTATTGCCGCCGCCTTATCGTCCTTGCGAATTCTCAACCTTCAGAATTGCAAAGGTTAATTTCCTCATTTAACTAAATGATCTTTTTCACTACTAACCTGTATATTATTATTTACTATTTCTGCAATTTTTACTCAAAAAGCTTCAAAAGAATATTCTTTGCATTTTTTTGGGGTTGATATATGAAATTCAGTGCGCGTGGTTTCAATTCCTATAATTGTTGAAGCCTTGTTTTTTGGTGTTGAAAAATAAAATTTTGTGAGACTTTGATTTTGGCCCCTTTTTACTTAATCTACTAGCTATTGAGATGAACTGACGTGGAGTTACGAAGTTATCTTAAATAAACATTTTAATTTTTCTGCGCTTTTTTTTTTTAATCACTGGAGGATTAAATTTTGCTTTTACTGTGATGAAGAAAGATAGTTGATTTTAACTAAAATCATATGCAAAGCATGAAGAAATTAAAAATTTCTTTGAACTTTAATGTGGAACTTTTGTTGGACGCATAACTGATAGGTGAATTGTTGGTGTAGCACAGGTATAACCGATATTGGAATGACAGCTATTGGTTCTGGGCTATCTTCCCTGCAGTCTTTAGATGTATCCTACTGCAGAAAGCTAACAGATAAGGGGTTATCATCTGTTGCTCAGGGTTGCCCCAACCTCAGAGTGTTGCATCTTGCTGGTTGCAAATTTGTAACCGATGCTCTATTAAGATCTCTTTCCAAGAACTGCAATAATATAGAGGAATTGGGTTTCCAAGGATGCAGTAAATTAACTGACTCAGGAATAACTGTTCTTGTTGCTGGGTGTCAAAGTCTGAAACATTTAGACATCAATAAGTGCATTAACATTGGAGACGTTGCGGTAACTAGTGTAGCAAAAGCTTGTTCATCATCACTTAGAACATTGAAGTTATTGGATTGCTACAAGGTTGGGGATGAGTCTGTATTATCCTTGGCCAAATACTGTGAAAATCTTGAGACACTTGTCATTGGTGGATGTCGGGACATATCTGATGGAGCCATAAAATCATTGGCTTCTTGTCATGGCAGTCTTAAGAATCTACGCATGGATTGGTGTTTAAATGTTACTGATACATCCTTGGACTGCATATTTTCGGTATGCACGGAGCTCGAGGTTCTTGACGTTGGGTGCTGTGAAGAGGTTACAGATGCAGCATTCCTGGGATTAGGAAATGGAGATTTCAAGTTGAGTTTGAAAATATTGAGGGTGAGCAACTGTCCAATGATTACAGTGCTAGGCATTAGCAAACTGTTGAAATCTTGTGAAAGTCTTGAGTATCTCGATGTGCGTTCATGCCCTCATATAACCATTGCTAGATGCGAGCAGGCTGGATTGCAGTTTCCGGAGAGATGTAAGGTGAATTTTGTTGGGGGTTTGGCTGAGCCAGATGTGCTACGCTGAGACTGTGATTTGTGAATATATGGCAAGTTCTGTTATTTTGAAGGTTCCTTTGTTCGATTGGAGCTTTCCGTCCATGGTTTCGTTCACCATGTTATTTCGCCCTACAGTATTGCTTATGTATTCTAGAGCTTTTGATTTCTTTCTGATTTATTTCCCCACATCTCTGCACTAGGATTTGTCATCTTCCCCTGCTCATAAATTCTATGGCTAGAAGCCCAAGTTCATATGTAAGCGTTTATGTTCAATTAATTGGGTATCAATAACAAAGACATTTGTGAATATTTATCGAATACTAATTCTATTTGATCTATGAATTGAGAATGTTTTGAGGGAATTCATTTTTTAGACATTTCTAGACAGTTATTGAGTGCATTGTAAAGTGCGTTTTGAAAATAATGCTGTAAAAGTTAAATTGGTCGATCAACTTATTTTCTTGAGCCATCGAAGTTTATTTTATGCCATCTCGGTTTGACATTATCCCCTACCTTAACATATTGATATGAAAAGTAAGTAAAAGGCGCAAAAAATGGCACCTTATCAGTCATCTATACGAAGTTATATCAAATCTCTACCATGAGAAATGAAATGATCAAATAAAAATACATCAAAAGAGTCCTATTGCAATCTGAGATTGGGCAAGCTCCATTTATCTATCTTCAACAATCCTATAATCTCTCTTTCAGTTCATGCGTATGCGAAGTATTAGCTAACCATTCGACCACTGTGTTCCCGTTCCCCGTCTCTCTAAACGTTTGAGAACTCCACTTAAAATCTTCCTTTGCCAGCACTGAACTTTCTCCAGATGGTACTGCACTTTCCACAACCAGTAGCTTTTGATTATGATTTTGATGATGTCACGCCAGCCAACAAATAAAGGTTTTAGCTTGATCAAAACTCTAGTCGTTAAAGGCAAGTAGTTAAGCTATAGTGTGTTCGTTATGGTTGAAACATAGTGCTCTAAAATGTTATTACAATCTATCTGATGTATATACAAGTTTTTGGAAATGATGTTGCTTGACGGTTGCTTTGTTGTTGAGTTTGTTAGAAGATATCCAGAATCCAGACATGTAGTCCCATATTTAGTGTGGATTGGATGAAAGTTCAGGTTTTTTGTGATTTGATTATTCTCAAAAATCAGCTGCCTCATTTTGTTTTGCTCGAGCTCTTTGAAATGAGCAATTGTGTAATAATGACAGAAAACTAGGCCTTTGCCAGTAAGGAAGCGAAGTATTAGACCAAATTCGCGGTGTGAAAGATCTTGAAGAAGCCAGAATAACATACAAAAATAAAATAGGTTTGATCACCGGCTCACCATTTCTTTTTCATAAATCACCACGACTGGTTCAAACATCAAAGCATGGGGGCTAAATCTTCGGAACAATATATTTTTGCTAAATCTTGCTTGAATCTATAGAGGTGAGGATTTAAGTGCCTGCTTGATGACGGGGTCATGCGTGGTGAAGTTTTGCTGGAACTGCTCTTTACCGTGTCTACTGCAGCCATGAAATCCGACAACGTCCTCCAGCAATTTAAGTGCCTGCTTGATGACGGGGTCATGCTTGGTGAAGTTTTGCTGGAACTGCTCTTCACCGTGTCTACTGCAGCCATGAAATCCGACAACGTCCTTCAGCAACAATGGTTTTCCAGAATATCATTCCCTCATTTCCACTAAAAAGTTCTAATATGGGGTACTAACATGTATGGCATTAGTAAGATTATTGATGGGATACTAACAAACAGGACTTAATAACAGAAATGATTTTATCCATCTGCATTCCACGACTACCCTTCACCAAAACAACGTCATGGCAATGTAATTTGCTAACAAATTTGGAAACAAGTTCGTCTGCATCGTAAGCACATACCAACTTCTTCCCCTTACCTATGTTCAAATTCTCAGCTGCCGTCAAAAACCGCTTACCAACAAGTGCCATTAAATCAATTCGAGCATCTAGGCAATGCTGTAAAATCAATTCGTGGAACATGATCTCTTTTGGACCAAGTTCAAGCATGCCCCCCAAGTGTAGCAACTTTTCTGCCTTTGCACTCAATTGCTCTTAGTAAATCAATGGCGCTTCGTGTGCGATCTGGGCTTGCATTATAAGCATCATTTACTATTTTGATACCATTCTGACCTCCCATGAACGGGTATAAATGTTGAGAAGGATTTTCCGCATAGAGCAAGAGGAACTCCCAAAAATGTTGCAACAGCAGCTGCTGCACATGCGTCCAGAGCCAAATGCAAACCTGGACTCGGAATCACAAATTTGACCCTGAACCCCAGCAGAGTAAAACAGATTATGCAATAAACTTCTTTATAATAGATACATATATTTATAAATCAAACACCTCCAAGAAAAGATTTACTGGATCAAGGAGAGTGTGCATTAAGTGGGGAAACATACATGCTTGATTAATTATTTTATTTAGTACTTTTCAGAAGTGATAGGACTTCTTAGAAAAATAGGAAGAAGATTTCCCAAAACAAATTGTTCAGGTAACCAGATATAAAAAAATTCACTTCCCTAAATATCCATATTTTCATGGAAGCCTTTCAATATTCACACTTGCCGAATTCAAAATTCTAGACAAAACCTTTTCAGAAGCTCATTTATAACTGCCTTGTATGCCAGATGGAACAGAGATTGACAAAAAGTTTATTGCAACATTTAGGAAAAAAACATTTATTTCATCTCACATTATCCAGTTCAGATATTTTGATGGCAGATAATGTCACATAATTTTTGACAGCATGGAATTCAGAAGTTGAAGTTGAAGTTGGTTTTCAGAAAACTACAATCAAATATAAATATCACACAGATTTCGTGGGCTGAATGACATTTTCAAAATATTCTTAAATATTCCCATGCCGCCCTGCACTAGAATTAAAGTATTTAGGCGATAAGAGCGACAATAAACTTATGCTTCTTTATTCCTTTCTAAAACAACCTGAACTTTGTGATCTCCATCTATACTTTGTGCCAAAACTAACCGAACATCAGAGCCCTTTCTCCGACCAAAGAATACCTAGATGCAAGTCATAAATCTGCATTAAATACTTTATGTTGGCACTTGTAGAATCATCTGAATCATAATTTCTAAAAGATTTGATTTCTCAGCACGAAGCAATTCCAGTTTCCTCGAGGCATAATTTGGCTCCAATATAAAATTATGAAGGCAAATATGTCCTATAGCAAATCAAAAAAGACAAACATGTTTTGCCGCTTGCTAGAAAAAGATATAATCATCTTCTTTTTTGAAAGCTGATTCTCAACTCCAACAGCTTATTCAGTCAATTCGATGTGATCCTACAAGGCATTTTAAGTATGCAATTGAAAAAAACCAAGGGAGCTTTCAAGTGGAGTAAATTGAGTAAGGACGTGAGGAGATATAGATGAATGCAATGTTTGTCAATGAAAGCTAGAATACATTTCCACACCAGGTTTGTTTCAACCTTTGCCCATTCCGTAACAAGTGATGGTTGATATCTCCATGAATTTCATTTAGGGTCAGTCAAAGTCCCACGGGAAAGCTTGGGAAAGAGATCTCAATTGAAAGGATGGAAAACCTTACTTAAAAAATTATTTGATTTCTGTAAAGGAAACAGTGTTTCCATCTCCTTGGTCATTAAACTATCTACATCAACTCGTCCCTAAGGCACCTTGGTTAGAGATGTGTAGCAGCTGAATGGTACGATTTAGCATATCTGTTAACATCCTTGTCTTAATTCTCTTGAACCTATCTTCTGATTATATTCAACATCTAACTATCGCCTCTTCAAAAGAAAAAGGATTTTGGTGTGACAGCGAGTCCAACAAGCCTCAACTTGCTACAAAATAATTTAATGTTAGAACTACTAGCAGTTTGGGCAACTGCTAGGCAAATGCAGTTTTTCTTGCCTAATGACACTGACTCGAAAGTTCCCAAAGCTTGCAATTAGATTATGGGCTGGTTCTTGGATTCCCGTGTCTTTGTTCTGTGCATTTTTGCTCTATAAAGTCACATGAATTTCTTCAAAATTACTTAGCAGTATTTCTTTATCCTAAAATATACCGTTGCAAATGCACTCTGCAGGTTGAATGATATGTCTATATGGTATCTCCATGTTTATGGGTCCAGAAACTAATTCAACATTTCTGTATCTCTCTAATAAAATCTCGAGGATGGATATCTGCATTATGCCAATTTGTTGCCTTTGGGTGAAAAAGATTTATTTGAGCTGGAATAGTTGATTAGGCACGTAATGGTTGTGTCTAGGTGAAAAACTTCTGGTCCTTACCGAAGTTTTGTAACTATATTGAATTTCAACAGAATATTTCTTCAAAATTCTTATTTATTCCTTTCCATGTACATTTTATCCTTAACTTTTTGAGTGTAACAAAGGCAAGCTCTTTGCTTGCATGATCGTTCTTTGCCAATGTTCAATGTTGCCAAAGAGTTCTAATATTTTAACAAGAGCTTATACTGTGCTACTTGAAGAAGATGATAAAGAAAAATGAACTTGTGTGGATACAATAGCAGAGTATTCACGGAAAATCTTAAGAGCTAAGACTTGATACAATTGCCCTAGAGGGGAAAAGCGCTAAACGGTTGAGAAGCTGTTGAAAGATATTTTATAGTTTGGCTTCAGAACCAAGTATGTTCTATCTTACCTAAATACATGAATATCACTATAGCCTATAGATCTGCATATTCCTATCAATCAGGATCCAGAGGACTATGATCTCAAGGCATTGCATTTGCATTTCAAGCAATGTGTTTATAATTCTTATAATTTGACTAAGGATATCTTTACTTTTCTGCTAAGTTCTTGGACTTTCTAGTGATGATATCAAAAGAAAAAGGCAACAATCTGATTATATTTTGCTGATATATTCTGTCTCATGATTGATCGTATTATCCTGCTATCAGAGGGAATTACAAGTATCCTGCTACCAAACAGAGTTATAGAACACAAGGGGCGATATCTTTCGTTCTATTGATTGTGATGCAAGACAAATTAAAAAAAAGGAATAAGCAAGAAGAGAGGGAGAAATCGGAGAGAATGGGATGAGAAAACTGGAGAAGAAGTAGAAATCAGGGGAAAGGGGAGAAGGAGGAAGCCATAGGCAACAACCTAAGCATTAAACTCTTTAATTCATCAACTGTCTCAAATACACAACAAAACAGAAATAAATAGCAAAACCAAAACCCTAAAGAGAAAGGTTTGGGCCAAACCCACTATACAAGCCCAATAACAGAAACATAAATAATAATCCAAATAGAATATAACTAATAGTCCAAATAAAAAATAAATAGTAAATGGATGTCCGCATCAACTCTCTCAGGGAGGGAGAAAAACTCGACCCCGTCGAGTGGATAAATCAAAATGTTGCAATAAATTTGATGCTAAAAGCTCCAAGCCATGCTACGGGGGACGATTTTTCTTGATGACCAAATACCGAAACTCTACAAATGATAATAAAGCTAGTTCCAGCTTATCCTCAAGAATATGATCCAACAAAGGAGGACGATCTTTCTTTGTAATCACATACCGATACTGAACTCCCAATAGTAAAAATTCATGCCACTCATCTCCAAAATCTTCATCATTGGTCAACACAACATGTTTATCTAAAATAGCATCAATTTCATCTTTGTGTGCTATGAAATGTGTTATTGGAGTGAAAATGGTAATATATTTAGGTTGGGGATTCACATAAGGAAGTAGAAAATGATCATCAAGGAAATTAAAAAGGCCTTTGTACGTAAATAAATCTTCAGTATGTAAAGCAGAGTGGTGGCCAAAATGTGATGAAAAATCAATGACATGTGCATATGGACCAACATACTTTAAAAATACCAGCACTACCGGCTTGCAATATAACATAATCCCCAATATTAAATTCAAAATATCGTTTATGCAAATTAACTTGAGGTTTATATAATACATTGCTTGTGTCAATTTGCTTATTGATCTCAATATACAAGTCATGAAGATGATGGGCAAATGCTTCAGTTGCCATCAACACACTAGCATGTGGGGACATGGGAATAAGGTCTAACGGCCGCCTAGACTTATAACTATGAACAACTTTAAATGGATTTAGATCTAGAGACCGATTTACAGAATTGTTATACGCAATTTGAACAGTTGGGAGAATTAAGCAAAAATTATACCCTTATTTTCCAAAATTGGAGGAATATTAGATGAGGGAGGTCCTAGAAGGGACTTAATAGGAGGAAGTGGAGCCAATGAAACCGAAGGATGATTGTCATTACGCTTTCTACATGAAGAAGACGACATTGAGCTATCACAACCTTTACACTTGTTTTTCCAAAGGGAAGGAACACTAGACTGGGAAGGCTCTATGATAGACTTATGATGAGATGACGCTAATGAGATGGGTGAACGATGGTGATTACGCTTTTCATATGCAGTACTAATAATCAACTCATAATCTCGAGCTAAAGAATAAGCTTGATTAAGAGCGGTGACACCCCGAAAGAAAAGCTCATGCCTAAGATCATCTCTTAGACCTTGTGTAAATCTACTCAAAGTCAAGGCCTCATCCTCAATGATATGACATTTCATTCGAAATTCCTCAAATTCAGCAATATACTCAATCACTAATTGATTTCCTTGTTTAAGGGCATTCCATTGAGAAAAAATTTCAAAATTATCTCGTTCTCGTTCACGAACTTGATCCTATACCTACGATCGTGTCTAAAGCATTTTTTATCACCACGATGATGATGATAATGTCTATTATGGGACACTTTAGATTTATGGACGTCGGTTGAACGAGTGATTTGCTTAAAGTTGTTCAAATTAGTAGATAGAGCCTTACTTTCTTCAAGAGTAGTAATCATCTGGGTTTGGATAGCTGCTATTTGTCGGGTGAGTGCATCAAATTACGAGGGGTCCATGTTTAAAATAGTAAAGTGACAGGACGACCACTGTGCAATTGTACGCAAGCAACACTACCTAAATGAAATGCAATAGAGATATCAATATGCAACAAGGACCAACAATTAAAAACAACAATTTGAAATTCTCTCTCTCTCTTTGAACAAATTTTGGGGTTACGGAATCCAACTATGCAAGCTAATAGTGCTGAGGTGTGTAAATAATAAAGCAAGGGTCCAATTGACTTGTCAAAATTTCCAATCACGTAGGTAAATGGGGTAACAATGGGAAGTTAATTCAGTGACTGATTTCAGGTAAGTGAAGTTTGAGGCCAAATTTATGAGAGCACAGTGACACAAAGACTCTAAATGATGCTGATAAGTGTGTTTTTACACACTTATTTAGCTCAAAAACATGACTTAAACATGGACAAAGTAATTGAATTGTAACTTAATCTCGTTAAATTCATGCAGTGTAGGTGTTTCTATGGAAAAGATGGAATTCAGAAGAAAAGAGCCGAAAAAGGACCAAAACGAAACAAAGTGATAGTTCGGGGACCAAAGGTGCAAATATTGGTAAGTTGAGCTAAAGTGCAGAACGAGAATGAAAATATGCCAAGTATGAGCTTGAGGACGATACAAGATGATCGGAGGAAGAAAGAAGTAATATTGGATTGAATTAAAGAAAAGTGAAATATGAAGGACTAAATTGCAATTAATCAAAAGATGAGCCGAGCAAGTGATCAAGGAATTGATTGACCCAAACGTCAATTAGGAGTTAATATTTGATGATGGAACAAAGGAAAGAAAGAAAAGCGATCAAGAAAAGAGAAAACGAAGTTCAGGGACCAAAATAGCAAAGTTGAAAGTTACAACCTTGCGGCCGCACAGAACTGTGCCATGCGGCTGCACATAAGGTTGCAGGGATTCCATGGGCCATTTCACTTGAACCATGCGATCGCATGGCTATAAAAGACAAAAAAAAAATTCTGAACTTGCGTTTTTTATTGAAACTCTTTCGGGGCTCCGTGAGGACATGATATAAAAGCCAAAATTCATTAGAAATGGGGTAGAACGTCCAGGGAGAAGAAAATTACAACTTTTGAAGGCAAGAAACAAGATCTTGAAGCCGATTCCACAAGAATTCAAGCAGATTTTTAAGGTTTTATTCAAAATTTCAAGAAATTTTCATACGAGTGCTATTCTTTCAATTTATTAATTTCGTTTTTTTTTCTGTAATTATGAATATTCTAGGCTAGGTTTTCAATTCACTAGGTGATCGATGAACCATTGTTTGTTATTTTAATTCCATATTTCATGATTTTAATATAAAGACTCGTTTGGACAATTTGATTGGTTTATATGCATTGATTTTCTTCCGCAATTAGTGGCCAATGATTGTGTGAGTGTTGATGACTTATTTCTTACATTTGAGAGAAGTGGAATATGTTCGATAAGGTGTAAATCAACATAGGGTCCGATAGGGGATAGAGATATACCCCTATACTTTATGCAATTCTTTAATTGTTCACAAAACCACATGCATTCTTGTATATTTGCATCATCCATAGAGATATAGGCTGGTGGTGTGTAAGAATAGGTTTAATATATATCGAGAGAATATGTTGGATAGATTTAGGAATATTGAATTAGCAAATTTCCATCGGGTCATTGATTTTATGAAATTAGGGTTTTTATAGCTTCAATTGGGGATTTGTGATCCTAGTGACTTTATTTTGATTCATTTCCATAAATTAGCTTTTGAATTTGCATAATTTCATTTACTTGAGTGTTTGAGTCGTTTAATTAGAGAAATTTCAAGATTAGGGTTCCTAATTGAGAAATTAGGATTTTTAATTGAAATTAGGGTTTTTTGCATTTGGACCATATTTTCACTCAATGAGACTCGGTTAAGGCTATATTATATAGAATTGAACTACTCAATCTCTGTGGGACGATATTCGGACTTTTAAAAATCCACTTTATTACTTATCACGATCCGTACACTTGTGGTAGTTTTAAATCGAAAGAATTATTTCGTGAATAGATGCACTTTTAAAATAAAACAACAGTATAAACTAATGAGAATTAGGAGATAGCGACTCCCTGTTGTCCAGTTGACTCAAGTGGCTGTATTGGTTCTTTGCAATCGGTGGAGGCAGTTGGCAAAGGAGATAATTAACTACTTGATTGATGAAGTCGACTGTTGTCTGCAATCTTCAAGAGAGTTGTTGAACAAAGTCCACAGATGCGAATATAAATTCCAATTCTTCAATCTCACCACCTCAAAATCAACCCGTCTAGTGGTGCAACTGAGGGTTAGAGGCTGTAGTCGACGGTGGATTAAGTGATATAAGTTTCTGGACACAGTGAATGCTTCTGCCTAGCTGGAGTTGCCTGGTGTTGTAACAATTGGACTAGCGGCAAGGAAAACGACCAGATTAGGTGAATGTGGGGAGGGAGTCCACCCCGAATGGACAAAAAATGACTGGGATTCTTGACTGGGGTGGTGGATGGTAGGTGATGGGTAGCGTTCGGCGACGGAAGTTGAAGGGATTGGTGGGACCGGATGGGGAATTGAAGGAGTCTGGTTTGCAGTTGTGATTTGGCAGCAAAGACGAGTTTGGGATTGAGGATGTATGTCGACAACTTGGGTGTTCAATCGGCGGCGTTGGGGCGATGGCGGCTGGAAGGATGACTGGCGATAATAGTAGGAGAGATGGTTGGGTTGACCGACGGCAGACAGTAACGAGGTTGAAGACGGTGACTAGAATGCAATGAAGTGAGCTGATTGTTGTGATTTGGGCCAGTAATGAATGGGGCTACTTTATGTGTGAATGGATTTGGGTTATATGTTCGGGTAAATATGTAACAAATGGGCTGGGGATTGGGTTATTGGCCGGGTTGGATAATTGGGTTGATGTAATGGCCTTATTGGGCTGAATATGAGATGTGGATAATGGCCTCTAGGACTTGGGCTACTTATGATTATGTGGATGTAGATTGAGTCTGAGTAACGGGTTAAATGATATGGAGACTAGAATATTTGACTGGGTGTTATAATGGACTGTTTGGATTAATAATGGATTGTGTGTATGGGTTAGGGTTTGCAGGAAGCGACAGCAGTAACATAGCAACTCAGATTTTTTTTATTTTTTTTCCCCGCAGGTGAATAGTACCGTTTTTTTTTATGAAGAACAAATAACGACAAAATGGGAAAAACTAAAAAAAAAACTGCCGCCACCATTGTTTTTGTGTTGTTTCACATGTTTTGGGATCTACAAATTTTTTTGGAAGAGGGTGGGAAGAAATTTTGGATTTTAGAAGAGAATTTACCCAAGTATCGACTCTAATACCAAATTTGATGTAGGACGAATTAAAAAAAAAAAGAATAAGCAAGAAGAGAGGGAGAAATCGGAGAGAATGGGATGAGAAAACTAGAGAAGAAGTAGAAATCAGGGGAAATGAGAGAAGGAGGAAGCCATAGGCAACAACCCAAGCATTATATTCTTTAATTCATCAATTCATCAACTGTCTCAAATACGCAACAAAACAGAAATAAATAGCAAAACAAAAACACTAAAGAGGAAGGCTTGAGCCAAACCCACTATACAAGCCCAATAACAGAAACATAAATAATAATCCAAATAGAATATAACTAATAGTCCAATTAGAAAATAAATATTAAATGGATGTCCGCATCAGATTGTCTGTGCTTGACATCATAAAAGGGTGTGTTTGTGAGGAGGGTGGGGATCGTTAAGAAACGCATCTTTTGAATCAGATCCTGTTCATTTTCCAATTCGTGTTTCATCTACCCTTTAATAGAAAAACGGGTTCTCCAGTTAAAATTTAAAGCCATGCACACCAAAAGCATACAAACCAAGTAACTATGCTATCAAAAGTTTAAACATTAAAGTCACCTACCTTCTTGACACCCACGGGGACAGGAAGACTCATGACAAGAGGATCATCAGCATTCAAAACACAAATGTTCCCTGGCATGCATCTCTCAAAATCTCCCATTTTGCCATCGAAACCTCCTCCAAACTCGCGAAGTTCTCCAAATGTGAAGCACCCACATTAAGAATCATCCTTACTTTTGGCCTACACATCCGAGCAAGCTACAATATTTCTCCTTTCTTGCTCATCCCCAACTCCAACTCCAACACCGCAAACTCCACATTCCTCGGCATCCCAATGAGTCAATGCAACCCCAACTTCATTATTCCAATTACCATGGCTCTGATATGCAGTTCCTATGCTTTCTAAAGCCAATGCAATCATAGTTCTTGTGGTGATCTTGTCCACACTCCCGGTTAACCCAATCAAGCAACCATTTGTCACGTTCCTTGCGAAAAGGCCCAATCTTTTTAATGAATTCAATGAACTGCCATCGACTTGAACAAAACCCATGTCCCAGTCTTTGCAGACTTGGTTGCCAATGACTCCTTTGCAACCTTTGGAGGACAGCTCAGGGGTTATGAAACTGTGGGCATCATAGTTTTGGGCAACGAGAGGAAGGAACCATTGGCCCGGTTGAAGGTTCCTGGTATCAATCGAGATTGTACCAGGTGGGCCCCACTTGATGATTCTGTCATTTATAGCCTCTGCTATCTCAGGGGCCGTCCACTGTGGTGAATCTGATGAGCCAAAATGGGTAATTTGGGAAATGATCCTTCTTGGGTTGGTTGAAGGATATGAGTTTCTTGTTAGTTTTATGGATATATATGAAGATGGAAGAACTGTCATCGGAGGCATGGATTGTTCCGAGTATCCAAAAGAGAAATGTAAGGGTGTCGACGGGCCAATGGTGGCTCGTAAAAGCTCGGCCTGAGACTGGTCCTAGTTTCCAATATTATTTTAAATTTCTCTTATTTTTACAATCTATTTATAAAATGAAAATGATAGATTATTTAAAATCCGTGAAAGATTTGTAATAACAAGATAAATGATGGGATAATGATAACATACATCTAAACATGCAATTGTTGATGTAAAAAAATTTATGATTTTCAATACTAAATCTCGTCCATTAGATTCTAGTACGTCTTTTTCCTTAATTTGTGTATAAAAGGCGTGGACCAAGAACGCAAATTGTCATTTGATTTTTGTAAGTATCACTATGTGTCTTAATTTCAATCACTCCTTTAATGAATCAACTAATATTGGACGACTCATAGATGTTTCACCTTGAGCCATATTACCTAATTTTTTAGGTTTGCTACTTAGAGGTGGTACATCTTTAAAACTTATATTTTGAGGAGTGAAAAAAGTCAGCTTCTAAGTTCAACTCTTAGATAAAAAAAAAAAAACATATATATTAACCTTTGACAATCAAGAGTCTATGTTATCTAAGTAAGTGTGTAGTTTGATTGAGAAATTCGTAATAAAATTAAAAGGACATATTAAAAATACTGGAGAAAAATTGTCTGCATTGAGTGACGAGCTTGAAAATCATTTTCACACGATAGTTAAGTGGTACTCTACGATTTTCTCTATAAAAATTCTTCTATAGTTTACTGACCATAAGAAGTAAAAAAAAAAAAAAAAAAAAAAAAAAAAAAAAAAAAAAAAAAAAAAAAAAAAAAAAAAAAAAAAAAAAAAAAAAAAAAAAAAAAAAAAAAAAAAATACAGTGAACAAAGACCAGCTCTCTGGGAATTAGCAAGTTTCCATATCCATATATGTAACCAATTGACAGCAGCATACTCCTAAACTTATTGGTGACGTTTCTAAAAGTAACAAAACTCAGATGAGATCATATTTGACAATCTTAGTAAAAAGCTGAAACAGTGCGGCCTCCAAACTCAACCTTGAACTCCTCAACCCATAATGAAATGAAGTGAGGAAGAACTTTTTAAGGATATGATAGGCTTATTTTCTGAGGATATATGTCCAGTTATATTCAACCAAGTTCACATCAAATGAAGGTATACATGAATCTCCATGTTAGTAAAACTTATCTATTTTGCCATCTGATAGTATTCTTCTGGGATAAGGATTCAATAATCTACCACAAGCAAAAAATGAAGACAGCGTTGTCTCAGGAATCAAACATGAACATTAACTTAAAAGGTTGAGGCTTTAGATTGTCGAAAAATTTTGCATATTTATATGTCCATGTTGGGGCATACTTTTAGATCAAAACTAGTAAATACCACAAGACTTCACCTGTGTTCCTCTTCTGTCCAAGCAATTCCCTTGCGCCGCTCCTGATCTGACCTTAAAGCCTTGCCTCCAAGACCAGAATCGCCATTTAAGGGCCTGAAATTCCCGCCTTTCTTAGCAGGTCCTTCGTCACTAGCATGGCTTGTTGAACCATCTGAAGAAGAACTATAACAAGGCAAAGGTATGCAGCCAGATTCAATTCGGCTGACATCATCGATCAAAAGTTCATAGTGATTTTTAACCTCTACCGGAGATTTTCCTGGAATATCAACAGAAATTTTCTCCCATCTATCTGAAGAATTCTCAGGATGAGTTGCTAATGCTTTCTCAAATTGCTTATCCTGTTCTCTACTCCACACAGAGGTGCTTGACACACCGGTCAGCATCTAGCCCTTCAATCAATAGAATTTATATCCCAGTCTTGTATTTTAAGATCTGTATATTCTATGGGAAAGAACCACTGAGGGATAGCTAAAGAGTAAGGGCAAAAAGGCTAAAAGCAAAGACAGTTGCACTTTATTAGAGAGAATTTGCAATAATTATCACTTAAGAGCCAGATAAGCAAGGGAAATCCGGATGAATTCAATGATAATCTGCCCCACAATTCAAGAATTGGACTTTAGTGAAATGATGACCCTATTGATGAAGAAAAAGGCAATAAATTTAGTTAATGCATGAGAAATATCTGAAAACTATAAAACCAAACATAAATATAGATAAAATGCAATAAATAACAGCCAGGAACCAACAGACAAGTTTAATTGGTGGGGTGATTTCAATATAACGGTAAATATGGTTCTTTAAGAGAGTGAAATATGAAAGAGATTACCATGAGTGCCAAATAAAGAAAGTCCCAAAAGTGCTAAATGGATAAATTAATTTGCCATAACTCTCTTATTGTACACATATTCTCTCAATCTTTGATCGCAGCAGTTTTTACAGAAAAGTCCCACTTGAAAGATGAAATATACCTAAATTTTACAGTCCAATACTGTTACATTGAGGCTGCTTTTTCCACTGCTAAGTGATGACACAGACACAGTAAAAAGTAAAAACTCCACCAGCAAATTCAGACACTTGGGGCTTGGCTCTGCCTGTTCATGTGAAAGTGCACAGTTTCCAGAACTGATACAGAAGTTTTGGAATGTTGGGTCTAAAAGTAATTACTAATGGTTTGCGTTTAATTACATTCTTAAAATTTTCAAGAAATCGACAGACGTTGCAGATAAGATTACTGATAATAATTGTCAAATAATTATTAAAATTAACAAATGAATAAGCAAAGCAGGAATATCGAGGAAAATCCAAAAGTCCCTTTCATAAGCCAACAAACAAATTCTTTAATAATGACAGATAAGCCCAGAGAGTGTAGACTAATCACTCACCTTATGGACTATGAGTTGAGACATGTCGTCCTCGTTTAGCTGTCACTCAACTAATTTTTTCTACTCAACCGTCTCTTAATATTCATTTCAAAGGTTACTTATAGAGTATTGTATCGCCGCATTTTCCTTAAATAATTATAATTGATGCAACTTTAGTAACAAAACAGTCAAGTAGACAGCCAAATAGAGCCGATACTGAAGGATTAAACTAGTTGTACATTCCATGTACAACAAGTTCGACATTCTGTGATGTGTAGGAAATTGAGTCATTGATTTGAATTAGTGTGGTTCCAATCAATGGCCAAGATTGTTGCCATGTCAAATGATGTCAAAAGAGTTGTCTTCCAGAATTGGATACTGAAATGAGGCTGCTAAGTGATGACACAGACACAGTAAAAAGTAAAAACTCCACCAGCAAATTCAGACACTTGGGGCTTGGCTCTGCCTGTTCATGTGAAAGTGCACAGTTTCCAGAACTGATACAGAAGATTTGGAATGTTGGGTCTAAAAGTAATTACTAATGGTTTGCGTTTAATTACATTCTTAAAATTTTCAAGAAATCGACAGACGTTGCAGATAAGATTACTGATAATAATTGTCAAATAATTATTAAAATTAACAAATGAATAAGCAAAGCAGGAATATCGAGGAAAATCCAAAAGTCCCTTTCATAAGCCAACAAACAAATTCTTTAATAATGACAGATAAGCCCAGAGAGTGTAGACTAATCACTCACCTTATGGACTATGAGTTGAGACATGTCGTCCTCGTTTAGCTGTCACTCAACTAATTTTTTCTACTCAACCGTCTCTTAATATTCATTTCAAAGGTTACTTATAGAGTATTGTATCGCCGCATTTTCCTTAAATAATTATAATTGATGCAACTTTAGTAACAAAACAGTCAAGTAGACAGCCAAATAGAGCCGATACTGAAGGATTAAACTAGTTGTACATTCCATGTACAACAAGTTCGACATTCTGTGATGTGTAGGAAATTGAGTCATTGATTTGAATTAGTGTGGTTCCAATCAATGGCCAAGATTGTTGCCATGTCAAATGATGTCAAAAGAGTTGTCTTCCAGAATTGGATACTGAAATGAGGTGCAGAGAATATTTGAATAACGTTGATGGCTTATCCTAAAAATCAAATCCCATAAGAATAGCAACAACTGCACACACTGACTGTGTGAGAGAGGGAGGTGGGGCTGTACCAAGAATTGAGCAAAACTAATCAATCAGGATAGGATGACAACTAATGTGACGATAAAAATGAAAAGGGACCATTTTATTCGAGTGGCTCATCAATTTCTATGTTCTATAAATATCATTCATGCGCTATTGTCTGTCACTCCTCATGTATGAACATATGGACATGTTACAATAAAATATATATGCCATATTTGATAGAAATTAAAATCTAAATTTTAATTAAAATTAAAGTTTACAATTAATTTTAATCATATATATCATGGAATTCACCACTTTTTAACAACGTGTTTATCAAAATCTGCTAAAATTTTGTTTTAATTGTTGGATATTGGTTAAATAAATCGAGAATTGAAAATCGATTAAAGTTCGTATCGACTTCGGCCAAATACTCAAAAGCTCGACTCAATCCGTTTAGGCAAAATTGTTTGCCACTTCGCCGCTTCGGGGCGCACAAACGGGGATCGACCTGCCCGGTCAGGAGTTGTCTTCCAGAATTGGATACTGAAATGAGGTGCAGAGAATATTTGAATAACGTTGATGGCTTATCCTAAAAATCAAATCCCATAAGAATAGCAACAACTGCACACACTGACTGTGTGAGAGAGGGAGGTGGGGCTGTGCCAAGAATTGAGCAAAACTAGTCAATCAGGATAGGATGACAACTAATGTGACGAGAAAAATGAAAAGGGACCATTTTATTCGAGTGGCTCATCAATTTCAATGTTCTATAAATATCATTCATGCGTTATTGTCTGTCACTCCTCATGTATGAACATATGGACATTTTACAGCAAATTATATATGCCATGTTTGATAGAAATTAAAATTTTAATTTTAATTAAAATTAAAGTTTACAATTAATTTTAATCATATATATCATGGAATTCACCACTTTTTAACCACGTGTTTATCAAAATCTGCTAAAATCTTGTTTTAATCTCCGCCAAACATGGACTTGGTATGTATGCATCTTTTTGGTTTAGATAAAATCAGAATTTTAATATATTTTAATAGAAAATTATGAAATGTATGTTGAAAAGTAGATTAATGAACATATTGCTAACATGGGAGAGATAAAAAGAGGAGAAAATGAAATGAAGTCAGTTAATGTACCGATTATGTACAAGTAGCATTACTAAAAAGGAAAAAAAAAAAAAAAAAAAGGGAATATGTTCAACAAAAGAAAGAAAATTTATCCTTGAAAAGACAAATAAAAACTCTTATTTTACTATTACTTTCCTAATTGATTCAGACTAGTTGATTGTATACCATTTTTTTTTTATTTCGCCCAGTTGTTTGCAGCATTTCGTTATAAATTTATATTGAAATTTTGTGTTTTGATTAAAAAAAAAAATCATTTTCTTATTTTTAAAATAAGTAAAAGAGTAGATTATTGAATACATATTAGAACGCGACAATGCAAAAATAAAAATACATTTTTTCTGTTTATATTAGATTTGAAACACTCTGTTTTTCTTTTTCTTAATTTTATTCAGATAAAAAAAACCTTTTAACTTGAAGAAAGTTCAGTTTTTTCCTTTTTGTAGAAATGGTTACAATTCAATATATATTTGAAAATTAAATCTTTTATATTTGAAGAAAAAAGAACAAAATATGGAATAGAAAAAAAGAATAAAACAAAATATGGAATAGAAAAAAAGAATAAAATAGTTACAAGCCTCAAGTCTTATTGAATCTAAATTTAAACTAACATAAAATGGATGTTTAGGGGGAAAAAAAAGGGTCAAAGAAGAAAAGAGAACAAAGAAATTTTTTTTATTTCATACATTGCAAATGAATATAAATTGACTAATGTATAAAATATTTCTTTTAAGAATGAGTAAAAGAATCGTATTATGAATTTTGTTTTTTATAATTAAATTTTCATATAAAATCATTTTTCAACTACAATATCAATTGATTATGACTCATCGGTTGAACGGGTAATGCAATAGAATCGTACAAGAATGATGAAAAGTCTAAAAAGCGTTCTTTACAAGAATACCACGAAATAAAATTGTTGATTCACAGAAGAATACCCAAAATTGAAAACCAAAAAATAATTAATGAACTAGAAGAACTTCAATATTTTTATAATTTCAATAAAACCCCATTCCAACTCCAAATTGTGGCTGCGTTATAAATCTTAAGAATTACATAATTAAAGAACACAAAAAATAAAATAGTTACAAGCCTCTGGTCTTATTGAATCTTTGGCTAAATCATTCTCCTTGAATTAAAAAATATTCATCCTTGAATCTTGCATAGTATTTTCATCATATTCCTTTATTCGACTTTATAATTGCAAAAACCCAATATTTTGAAGTAAAAAAGAAAAAAAGTGCATGTTTCCATACTTGAACCAAGCATCCAAGTAAACAGTAATAAAGTTTCCTCAGCTTTATTTTGCTCACAAGTTGCAATTATAGCAATCCCTTCTTTTCATTTTGATGAATATACACCGAGCTTCAATAATTGCTTTACATTTTCCATACATATCTGACATGTAATTAGTCACACCAACACTGGATTGAAAAGGAGTCTATTTCACTAATCTATCAATGTACTTCAACTTCTTTCGACATTGTACTCTTCATCGAGAATTGAAGTACTATAAATTCAACCTTGGATTGGTATTACCGATATAGATTTCAAGAGAATAAGTTTTACATGTGTTAAATCAATAACACGAATAACCAATAATATTTTTTATAAATTTTTGTTTCAAAATTGATGTATGTTTCTTATTCAGAATTTGAGTGTTCATAAAAAATAAGAATAAGTATTTTATTTTATTATTTTATCGGCACACGTTGATTATATCGACCTCCTTCAATATAATTGTAGTTAATTTTATTTCTACTTTTATAATTATATGTAATATTATTAACTAAGACACTATATTCACCATAGTTAATTTAAAAAGAAAAAATAAAATATATTTAATTTTAAAATAAATAAAACTGGAGAATATATTTGATATGTCATTAATGATCGAAAAAAAGATAGAAAAACATTTTGTATGTGAATGTGATGGACGAGACTTTGGTATTGCAGAATGCCAACAAATTTTGAATATGAAATGAATTAATTTTATTTTTTGGTGGTTAATATCGAGATTTAAATATTGAAAAAATTAAACAGTAATTGTTACCCTCATCTTACAAGGCTCTAGTCATTGGTTACGTGATAGCCAGTTAACAAGACATCCCAAGCTCGCAATTCACATCATTCGCTTACTTGGCCCAATTGATGCCATCAAAAAGAGGAAGTCAAAGTGATACATCATCTCTGTTGAGGTGCCATGAAGAGGTTGAACCTTCATGGCCAAGATGATGTACCACCATCTACTGTAGCTCATTATCAGAGCAATGAACATTGGATTCCACAAAGGCATCTTTCTAACTTACTTTTTTTCACGAGATTTATTTATGTAATCACTCCGCTGTAGAAGCCTCCCAATCTACTTGTCAATCGACTTTGCAAACATCAAAAATATGCTATAGGGTGGCCATAGTGACACCTAGGAAATAACGCGTTGACTGTTAAGATGGGGTCATGTTTCTACTATAAACAGCTCATATATAGTGTCATTTGGAAGTAATACTACTTTACATTCTCAACTTGTAACGTATCTCTAATTTTTTCCTCTCTAAAATTAGGTGCTCGTGTATATACTTGTTATTCACGTCTTTCATTCATTCCACACTTAAATATATAAGTTGATTGACTTCAATTTTGGAGTGCTCATGATCTCCTCTTCTACTATCAAAGAAGGTCACGTATTTCTAACAAATTCTCTAAGTGCATAACAGCCTTACGCGTGAACATGAGTGGAGCTGAAAATTGTTAAGCATGGTCATTGGTTGAAAATTGAGGTCAATAGTGACTTTGCACGCATCATTATTTTTGTAAACACACATTTTATCGCATTATTAAAGGTTCATAATTTTTATTGAACAGTGATCTATTATTATTATTATTATTTTTTTTTAGAATGTGTGATTAAAAAGTATGAAATTTTTTTGGATTTACGTGTAAAATAATTGATACCCTTATTTTGTGGGGATTAAAATCAATTTTTTTTTTCTTTTTGTAGATTTTGACAAAAAAAGATGAAATGTAGAGTTAAAAGATCGTAAATCCTATAAAATGTACGATTAAAATTATTTGTTGACTTTAAGTTAAATTAAAATTTGTACACTTCATGATTAATAATGAGTTTAGAGAGAGAATTTTAAGATAAATAGAGTCATGCTTAACAATGAGTTTTAGGAGATACAGGGTTCTGAAATAACGAGTGACACGTAAGTCTCCAGTCTCCATCTACAGTAGATCTACCTCGTACACCCAGTCCCTCGTCTACTTTCCCTCGCCTTCCCGGCTCTTTACGTAACTATATATACACGACTCTAATTACATGCGTATATATATAAAACTTCGTGCTTTGCTCTCTGCACATACTCTCTTTGCGTCAAATTATTTCTATATAGAGATTTCTGTATGGATAGATGAGAAGATGGGCAGAGTGTCGGTGATCGTCTACATTACAGTAGCAATACTACTCCTCATCATCGTCTCCCGCTCCTCCAACAAGTCCAACCACCCTCACCGCCACCACCGCCTTAGAATCCGTTCCAACTTCAACTTAAAGGCGGAGCCCCACCGCCACCACGAACCTGTCGCTTTTGACCCGGTTATAGCCGACATCGAGCGCCGCCGTGAGGACAAGCAATGGGAGCAACAGTTCTTTCAGATCCACCACCCCGAGTTGCTGATTCCATACGAGACGATTCACCCTGAGGCTCCTAAACACGAGTCCCAGCCCGAGCGGGAGGACTTCATGAACGCTGAGGACTACGTGAATGATGAGGAACGGTTCAATGTTACCAACAGGTTGGTGGTTTTGTTCCCCAAGATCGATGTGGACCCTGTGGATGGGTACCTGAGTGAGAACGAACTGACTGAGTGGAACTTGCAGCAGAGCCAGCGGGAGGTTTTGCATCGGACTGAAAGGGAGATGGAGGTTCATGATAAGAATAAAGATGGGTTTGTGTCGTACGCTGAGTACGAGGCCCCCAGCTGGGTTAAAAACTCAGGTCAATTTCAATTTAATTCTGTTAAAGTTGAATCCTTTTCTTTTCCTCTGTCGATCTGTCTATTGATTCTTAGTTATTTCGATCTCGTACATTTGTCATGAATTCAAAATATTCCAAGAAAGTTTCGTAGAGTTTCAAAGTTCTTGCATAGTTTTTTGAGGCTTTATACTCTATACTATGGTTATTGTGAATTCGATCATTGAGTGTTTAGGTAGCTCAAGAATCGTTGATGGTAAGTGCAAGTGAGAACTAGTTTAGTGGAGGACTTGAGCCTAGTTTGTCAAATCCAATTAAGAGGAGAAAAATGCCGAACTTTGTTTGTAATATGATTTTAAACCGTTCACTGAATATGTTTCTGATAAAACCTACTTTTCTTATTACAACAAAAAGTATTTCAGACATGAATAATACAGACAGATAACTCAAAAGTTGAATCGTTTAATTGTTTAACAACCAGTATTAACAATGTTCATGTTGATTACGAGTTATATGCCTACAAATTATTTCTTGTGCAGCTTATCTGGTGCACACTTGTTTTCCCATTTATTCGTCCATGTGATTCAGTTTATGCGATAAATTATCCCTTTCAAACAACATTCGCTTGCTTGTCTTGGAGCTGAAATCCTTTTGGCAACATATGGCAATTCCTTGCAATTAGGACTTCACAATGAGAACTGACCCGTACCCCTCAATTTAAATAAGTAGGTTCCATACTTTCTTATAAATCATTCTTGATTCTCTTGCTCCAGACAATAATTCTTTTGGATATGATATGGGCTGGTGGAAAGAGGAGCATTTTAATGCATCTGACGTGGATGGAGATGGTCTTTTGAATATAACAGAGTTCAATGAGTAAGATTTTATTCAGCTGGGAAGTTTAATCTTGCAAAGGATTTAAGAATTTTCCTGGTTCCATATGTTTAAGATTCTTCATAGACTACTCAATATATTATTTTCCTTGTGATTATAGCTTTCTTTATCCGGCTGATACAAAGAATCCCAAATTACTTCAGTGGTTGTGCAAGGAGGAGATAAGGTGCACGAATTCTCTTAAACTCTTCTTTTTTGAATGTCAATTGCAATCATTTAGTTCCTGTTGCATTTCTTCTTTCCATTCTCTGAAAGATGGCTGGCATTTCTAGATAGTAACTATCTAATTTCTTATGTTGCTTTTGCTCATCTAATGTGCTATTCTTCCTGTTCATAGCCTTAATATGGAGCTAAAATAGAGAAGTTTACCGATGAAGAAATCTTGGTTATTTTAAATTTAGGATCTCATAGATGAAATATTGGAAGTTTTCCTTTGAACTTTGACAATGTTGTCATCATCAGGGACAGATTCGGGAATGGACTACAAGCCGGGGTAATATGTCACAAAAAAAAAAAAAAAAAAAAAAAAAAACAAAAAAAAAAAAAAGGGGGGGGGGGGGGGGGAGTATTTAAAAAAAAAAAAAAAAAAAAAAAAAAAAAAAAAATGCACTAAAAAATCAAATGGGCTGGGGACTGGGCTGTATATGTCCCTGGTCATCATGATTGAACCATCCTATAAAATTGCCCTTCTTTGGTATGTGATACTCATGGGTACCGCACGATATATTTGCTCCGAGAAATTTTCTAATTTAATATATTGTAGTTAAATAAATTTCAAGGAATTTATGTTATTCTGTCCACCAATTTACTATTTCTAAATTTGTTCCTTTTCCCAATATTCTACCATATTTTTGGAAGCCTCCCAATTAATATACTTTGATCCTGTATGTAGTCTGTTATATTTCTAAATTTGTTTCTTTTCCCAATATTCTATCATATTTTTGGAAGCCCCACAATTTATATACTTTGATCCTGTATGTAATCTGTTATATTTTTTAATGCAATATGTCATTATTAGATGGTTGCCTGTATGAGGGAAATAGAAGTTTGGAACTATGGGGCTAAATTTGGTGAAGTCATGAATGACAGTTTCAAGTACATTTTTGGAGGGTGTTAGATACTCTTGTTATATTTCACTATCACGATGTGATTGTTTTCTCATAGGGCCAAGTGCATAATGTAATTTTTTCACTTGTACCACTATATCATGTTTAATCCATGTATGTGATCATTTGGTGAAGTGAGGGGATTATGGAAAATTTTTGTTGAAAGATAAATTAATTTTTGAAATGGAATACCTTTTTAAAGACATGCAAAGGGACAGATTGATGCAATAACAATTGGATGGAGTATATATTTATATAATGTACTGGTATTAAGCCAATTTTTGGTGTGAGGTAAAAGTTATAGTCACTATTTCAATTTTTTCACCAAGCTTCATATATTAATTAAATGGATATTATGCATTTTGTCTAGTTTCAAGTTATTTATATGTATAATTCTTCATGAATAATGGCTACTATTTGCAACACTATACTCAAAGTAAATAGTCAAGAAATACATGGTTGCATGAAAGATTTCACATTTGAGAGGTATCAACACATGTGCATTAATCAACACAAGAAAGCTGAAAACCTATCCCATGAAAAAAATAAATAAATAAATAAATAAATAAATAATAATAATAATAATAATAATAATAATAATAATAATAATAATAATAATAATAATAATAATAATAAAATTTTAAAAAAAATGAAAAGAGAAGGAAAGAGAGATAGTGGAGAATTCTTGTGAAGGATGCGAATCCTTGCATGAATTGTGTTGAATCTTGAAATGGAAATATTTTTTAAAAAATTGGCTTTGGATTCCTATTTTACTATGTAAACCCAAGAAACATGAGTATGATCATCTCTCAATATTATGAACCATTTTATGTCCAATACATTACTCATCGATAGCCTACAGGAGTCTCCTATTATCATTTGCTAGTGCTGTTATCATTCTTTGTCTTTGGGAAACATTATTTTCTTTTTTATCTTGCTACCACAATTTCCCTTAATTTTTTCTGTGTTATAATTTTTTGTTTCAGGGAAAGGGATAGTGACAGAGATGGTAAGGTCAATTTCAAAGAGTTTTTCCACGGGCTCTTTGGGCTGGTGAGAAATTATGATGAAGAAGGGCATAATTCTTCACATGAGTCTGGTGATACGTTGGAGGCCCCAGCTAAGATATTGTTTGCGCAGCTTGACAAAGATGGTGACGGGTAATCAACTAGAGATCTCAGTTCAAACAGATTTAATGCTAGATGATGGTTAAAGAATATATCAGTTTTATATAACCTCAATTTCTTATCATGCTGTAGATATTTGTCCCATGAAGAATTATTACCCATTATTGGAAAACTTCATCCATCGGGGCGGTATTATGCAAAACAACAGACAGAGTACATCATGCAACAGGTATTTTTTGCATTTCCATCTGACTAGTTCGAGTATTGTAGTCTTTTTGATTTGACAAGATTGATACGAGGAGATGTTTTATATGGGCATATTTCTTCTTAGATGAACCACGTGGTTTATCTAGGCTAACTGCTTTGCTTAATTTGACTTTCGGACGTTGGCATTATATTTCTACTAAGTTGAACATCCTGGAGTCTCTGTGTACAACTATTTGAGTGGTCTCATGGTGGCAAATATCTTTTGGGATAAACTTGTGGTCAAGACTTTTGTGTGTACATTAGCAGTTCTATTTTCAAGATGGGTGCTTGTGTTACCTGAATGTAATGCAATGCAATGCATTGAGGTTTTTGATACATTTCTCAGTTGCAGCTATCGATGTTGAAATAATTGGTGGCTCCTACACTTGAAGTGGAGGATTCAAGATAAAGTTCTCAACTTCTTGATGTCTCCTATAATTTTTAAAGAACGTATTTTCCCTACTTATATATGTAAAGTTTGGTCTAAGGTTGTAAGGTTTGGTTTGAGGTAGTTGGACCTTCTGCTAATGTGGAAGAGTATAGTGGCAATGAATCCACTACTTACTGAAACAAAATTAATCTCTTGAATGGGAAGAGAAGTGGATTATACAAATTGCGTCCTTCCCCATGTGCACGTGCCTCCACGCTGCCAGTTAATTTCCACTTATGTGGTGTAGAAAACATTAGGTTCCTTTCCAGGTTGTAGAGTGAATGTTCTGTTGTAATTACATTTTTCTAAGTCCAAACAAAAGGGTAATCCTTACCATGTTAAGATTTGGGGTTCATCTTAATAAGGTCAACCTTATTAAGAAGAGTGACCCAATATCTATTTAAGTTGGTTAATATTTCGATATTTAACCGATGTAAGATTTATTCCCTTAATATGCTCCCGCAAGATAATGGCTCTTTTTGAGTAGAATAATCTTGAAATCCGTGTGCTCATTTTTGAGACTTAATCAGATCGAGTAACTCGTTGGAGCTTACTGGGCTTTGATACCATATTAAGATTTGGGGTCCATCTTAAAAAGATTCAATTTATGACTGTTGAAACATAATAACTCGAAAAGTTTCAGAATTCCATGAAAGACAATCTTAGAAATCATTCTCAGGACTCGAAAATGTCTTTCGACTCATGTGCACTTTTCCTGACCAAATAGAGGTTTTTCAAACTTATAAATCTTCTTCCTAATTTAATAGTTTGAAATGAGAAGAGAAATCTAAATGTTTAAGTACCTTGATAATTGTACGTGCGGATAATGGAGATAAAGTGATACGTTTGTGTGCTACTAATATTGTTACTCTGATATCAAGGTATTTTGTTATTAGTTCTGTAAGTTAAAGTTCAATATCAGCTTCCATTTTCCGTAATTCCACAAGTGATTTTCAGTTGTGTTTTCAGTCCTTTCTCGCTCCATCTTCCTCATCCACCGATGAACTGACAATTTTCTCAAACTCGTTGGTACTGACCTGTCTATGTCAATTAGATAGAACTGGTTAACCCATTGATGTCCTAATATTTGTATGTTGAAAGTGATGGCCTCAGAAACAGACTGAGTGAATTCCTGCCTAGCGATGAACAGTGATGACTGTTCTGAAAATATAAAAACCGATAATTTTGCAGGCTGATTCAAATAAAGATGGTCGTTTGAGCTTGAAAGAGATGATCGAGAGTCCATATGTTTTCTATAGTGCTGTATTTGACGATGATGAAGATTATTATGGACACCATGACGAATTCCGTTAGATCCACAACAGGCAGGCAGGTAAGATTATGATTGACAAATGTAAAAATATTCATGTCTGTTTTCTCTTCATAACATGAAGGAATTTGCTGCAGGATTATAACATTTCATCACACATTCTTTTTCCTCAGCGCTCATATTATGTACAAATAGTCCCCATCGTGGCAAGATTCTCACATGATGTGCCCCCAGTTATCGTGTTTACTTTTTAGATGTTTGATTGATACTTGAAAATCTCAATTATTTTTTACTTTTGCTTTCTATTGCAGATTACGGGCTGTTGGCCGTTCAACTAGTGAATGCTTTAGGACAGTTTTAGAAACATAACATATAATTCAAATTCTTTTCCCAACCCATTTTTGTAATCGATTTTTCGTGTCAGTTTTGTGACTTGTTATCACTATATATTATATGCTGCAGACAGTTTTATTGTAAAGCATGAAGCAAATTAGTGTCTGCTGCCATTAGATTTAATCATTTTTTTCTCCTTTTGGTGTTCAATTACTGATTCTTGAAAATGGAAACTAGTGGTATTTAAGCTTACTTGAAGAGTTCAAAAAGATTATTCACTTAGGGTGTCTTTGGTACACCGAAAGGATAATATACCCTTATCTCATCATATTTCGAAAATTATACCCTTCATGAGTTGACTAAAAATATTGGCATCAGCAAATCGCTTACCAGAACCTCAGGCTCTAGATGTATTACGTAACCCTTGTGGTTAAGGCTATGGAGGATGATGTTGAGGTTGTCGATGTGGAACTTTGATAGTTCTGTTAGCAAGCCCATGCCTTCGGCATAAACAATTCCTTCGAAGTTGGACATTAGGTTGGGTGTCCTTTTACGATGACCTATCAATCAGTTGTCATAAAAACCTTTTATAGACGTGGGCTCAACTAACAAGTTTCAAGGAACTTGGCCACTAGTATTACTGAAGGTATATTTAGATGACATGCTCTCCAGTAAAGTAACTCATAGTAAAGATTGTAATAAACCTTTAAAGACCTATAAAATTTCGATGGCGAATGGCTTCATTTAAGCAATTTGCAACTTATAAACACTTGAAGGTTGACTTGATCGTCACATCGATTCCTGTATCTACGATTGAACCTATGGGAAGGGCATTTCTTGTTATTCTTGCACGTCGTCATCCGAGTAGTACAACTGCATCACGAGATAGAACAATAATTACATTACTTCGCAAATAATGTATTAACATATTAATCGGATAGAAAGAAGGTAATCAAATCACGAATTCTATCCTGATTGTTGAGTCATAATAATATCGTGATTTGATCCCATGACGTGTCTTGATGTTGTGGCACATTCATCTCAACTGATACTTGTTATTCATCGTGCGGGATGCAGCATCGTCGTCCTCGTCATGAAACCGAATTCAGCAAGGTAGTACTTCCCTAGGGCTGGATCGAAAAAAATGTATTTCAAGATTGTGAATTGTCCTAGGTAGAATGCGACTATCGTGGGTATTACCATAGTCCTTGGGAGAACGAACGGACGAGATATGAAGAAAGAGATTTGGTCAGATCAATTCATTCCGATGTTCATCCGTGGAGACAGCTAAATTTTGAATAACAAATTGCTAGAATGTTCTGAGTTGAAATACCCTTTCGACCAACGACGTGTAATCATTGTTCCCATGGTAGGACAACTTTGACATAGCTTGCGTCAATGGCGCACCGATGCAATCCTAATTAGAAAGCAAAACATTTTTTCTAGCCTTAGCAAAGTACCACATCAAAAAAATAAAATGATTCCATCTCATTTTAATACAATTAACTTTTTAATTTGTGTTACGAAGCTTGATCAAGATGTGCTTCCATCTTACATTATGGCAAGAAATGATGTACAATACCTAACCAGAAATTGGGGTGCTTATCGAGATCGGATTGATGTGAGACGAATTTTGATTTTAGTTTGGATTCGGTTTAATAAGCTGTACTTCCTAGCTAACCGCAATCCGCAAAGCAATATTAAAGTTTAAACTAATGACCTATTGTTTACAGTGAGTTGAATAGAGTCTACAACTGTCGATGGTCTTTGCCATGGGATAAGCATAAGAACATGTCGACCTATTGATACGCATCAACACCGATTTCACAACGGAAGTCACATTCGTGACGAAGGATATGGGTAAAATGGACAAACATAGGTTGTACATTCATAACTATAAAAACAAGAAGAAGACAAGAGCTCAAAATTTAAAAAAAAAAAAAAAAAAGAAAAAGGCAAAAAATTAAAAAAAAAAAAAAAAAAAAAAAAAGCAAAATGTTGATCCTCCCAATCGCATAGCCAACAGGCCCAACACCATCTTCACCACTAGGGGTGATGCTAGAAAATTATGAGCTAAATCATATTTTAGATTAGGCTAATATCAACACAACTTTGTTCCCCAACTATAGTTTAGCTGTCTAGGGTAGGCTTCTTAACCTGTCCCATCCATTCCAGATCCAAAGTTTGAATCCTACCCCTCAACAATTACGAAGTGAATAATGCTAGCACACACTGGGGGCGACCGCCCCCTTGAAGATTTCTCTATTCAAGTGGGAATTTGTGCATTGATGAGAAAAGTGGGAGAAAATCAATGGTATAGATCATGCCACATGAAAGAGTGTAAATTAAGGTGTAATGTATAATGTACATATAACAGAATTGTGGTGATGTAGGACATGGATATAATGACGTCTAATTTAACTATGAAAAATAAAAAGGATTAAATTACACGTACACAAAATGTACATCTTGATTGACACTCTCCTATGTGCCAAAAAATTGATAGTTGATTGAAAAATGTGTTGTCATGATTAATTCACCAAAATCTACCAACTCATATGGGGTAAATTAATATGTTAATCTTTATGTACATATAGCACAGTCCATTTTTTCCCCCAAACTTCAATGAGGACCAAGAACGTCCTCACCACTATCCATCACCAATATTCACCCTAAACTTGTAATAGCAAAAAACCACCACTGCCTCCACTGCCTGCGTAAAATTACTGACATACTCACTATCAATAAACTGTCACCTTCATCCTTAAAAACACCTAACCATGTCATTCAAAAAAGTCAGAAACTGTGGATTCTATACATTATATCTTTGTATGATAATATTCACACCTCGATGCTTAAGAATTAAAGCAACTTCCAAAAATGTGGATTCGATAAATATCTTTTTAATAATAATGTTGTTGACCTCGAATTTTCTACCTTCAATGTGACCAATAAATCTCAAGGCCTCTCATGTCCACGCAAGCCTAATTCTTGCACACTTGGCTTCCTCCGATGGGGATGTTGCTTGTGCGCACTCTAACAGTTGATGATATGATGCAGAAGTCGAGCCCGACGAAGGCTAGTACGAGATGAGATCCGTTGATAGTCGATGGCGGACCAATGACACGATCAAGGGCAAAGCAAGTGAAACAAGTGATGTGATTACTCGTTCAAGAAACCATTGATGGAACCATGTTCGGGACTAAAAATGGAGCAACTTTCATATTCGGGTCGAAGGCCGAATCAATTTGGATCAATTTAATATCAAATGTCGAAGACGGAAGAAAATAATAAGCCTATGCGACTGCATAGGCTTATGAGGCTTGCGATCGCATGGAGGCATATCGAAACTCAAGATGAGATTTTTAGTTGAACCATGCGACCACATGGAAATACACTCCATGCGACCACATGGAAATACACTATGCGGTCGCATAGGCAAAAAATTTGGCGAATTTTCTAATTTTGGCAATTTTTCATATTTTGTTAGTTTTTGATTTTTTCCATATTTTGGGGATTATAATTGACTTTTGCATGATTTTTACCTATTTTTTAGGTTTAATATAAATAAGAGTTTCCATTCAATTGTTAAAAACTTTTGACATTATTGATATTGAATTAAAGTGAGGTGTATTGTCTTATCTTTATCGTTCTTCATTGAAAACAATCGGACTTAATCCTTGGATTGCGTGATCAAGTGGTCTTTCAAACGTCGATATTGTTGGATTTTTTGGTTCGACTTTCTTTTGGGTTAATCCTAAACTCTTGGATTAATTTGGCTTTCTTGGGTTCGTCAATCTCATTGTGGGTTTCGTAGTCAACGTTGCTACGAGGTTCGTATCAGTTGGTATCAGAGCTTTGGCTCCAAATTAATTGAAGGTTATATCTCTTCTTTATTTGTTTGAGTCTTTAATTTTGTTTTCTTAGTTTCTTCTTCAATTTTAACTGTTCTTTCTTAATTCTTCTTCATTCTTGTTTTTCTTTCATCGTTTCGTTGAGTTGTTGGTAGTTTAATCATCTGCTTTCATCAAAGAGTAAAAAAAAAAAATAATAATAATAAATAAATAAATTTGATATTATTATTGTTTGATTTTATTTTTCTACCTATGATAAGTGTATTTTATACACTTATTTCATACTTAAAATAATGATATTTAAGGGTTCTTTCGACAAATTATATCCTAAATTCTTGTATTTTACGTTTGATAGGTAAATTTTATGAACAAAAAGAAATTGGAGGAAAGAGGCAAAAATGGGCGAAAAGTGGCAAAATTCAAGTACAAGGACTACATTGCATTAACTTAATAGATTGGATGGCTTGAAGGGCAATATAACTTTAATTGATTTGAAGTAGATTCCTTTCAAGTCAAATATTGCTGCTAGGTTTGGGGGGGAGGATATATATACACGCACAGAAAAATTGGCTGCTGGGAAGAACTCTCTCTCTCTATATACACGCACGAAAATCGAGAATCAAAAGAAGAGGGGCTGCTGCCATTAATATATTATAAAACCACACGTGAAAGCTGGGAAAAAGAATTAATTGAGGCAGCCAATAATCTACCTTATTACACACACTTTGGTGCTGAAATTAATCTATATAAACACTGAAATTAGAGCCGGTTAGGGAGAGATTGGACTCCACTTTGGAGTCACACATTACGGCTCCGACACGTACAGAAAATCGAGAGAGAAGAGGAATTGAAAGCTGCTGGTTGCTGCATCATTATTCTTATTTACGCACATATTTTGAGGGCAGTAGCTGGGAGTTTGTCTAGGAATTAATTGGCAGCAGCTTTGGGGTTGATTAAAGTAAAAAATTGAGACTGCCTTTGGGTTGAATAAAAGAGAAAACCAAAGCAGAATATACACAAAAACTGATATAGAAACGGTGGCTTCAACTTGACTTCTTCAATTAATAAAATTGGCGGCTGCTAATCACACACACAAGACAAGGGGCTGAAATTGAAAAGAAGCAGACACGGCAAAAGACGGCAGATTCAGCCTTGCAAATTATTTCGTTCCGTCAATTGACCCGGTGATGAATTTTCTAATAAACTTGTGTTTTTCTTTCATTATTATGCGTAACTAAATCAAAATTAGGGCGAACAACGTAATCTTTTGGAACCCTTTATTTCGTTGAATTAAGATTCTAGTGCTTTTATATTTTATGTGTTCATTTTAATGTTGTTCTCAATGCATTTAATTACTTAATCACTAATTAGATGATTTGTGAACAATGATTGCGTAGAGATACGGATTATTTGTTTAGACTACATGTTAAAATTCGGTAAATTGATATAACGTGTAGAGATACCTATATTGATTGCTGCGGTCGTATGTGAATTCTTAGAACCAATGTTGTGTTTAATTAAATTTAATTTGTATAGAGATATGAAATTGAACTAATTAAATAGGCTCAACGAGAACTCGAGAGGGGTAAGTTAAATACAATAAAAGAATTTGATCGAACACTACTTTAGGTTGTATGAATCTTGATTTACGAAATAAAGGTGACCATTAGATGAAATTGTTCAGCCCTAACGTCCTTTATTATTTGAATTCTCAATCATTTTCTGTTGCATCCATTCACATTTTTTTAGTAGTTAGATTTAAAAATCACATTCAATCAAATATATATATATATATTTTATTTATATTCATCAAATACGAGTTAGGAATAGTAAATTGAGTACTAAAGTATAGTTCTCGTGGGAACGATAATCCGGACCCAAAAGATACACTTTACTACTTGTTACGATCCGTCCACTTGCGGGATAAAATCGACAACAAGTTTTTGGCGCCGTTGCCAGAGACTATTACTCTTAGTTTTAATTTATTTTTTCTATTTTAAATTTTAATTTTTATTATATTTGTTTATTTTCTTTTATTTACAAAAAAAAACTGTGTTCGTTATATGCTCCGTACCCAAGGCGAAAATCTTGAACCGTTTGATTCGGAAATAGAACGTACCTTCAGACGAAGACGAAGGGAACACACAAAAAAAGCAGCAACATCAAATGGCTGACAATCTAAACCATCCTATCTCTATACAGCCAATTGGACAAATGGCTGCGAGAGCTCAACGGCAAGAGCAAAGGGAAGTAAATGAAGGGGACTTGCCAATTTCTATATTTTTTACGCCTATAGCAGCACCCACACGGTCCAGCATAGTATATCCAGAGTTTGGGGTAAACAACTTCCAGATACGGGCTGATTGGATTAATTTGATGAGCAACACTCTGCAATTCTACGGGTTATCTCATGAGAATCCAAACACACATATCTCAAGGTTTCTCAGGAATTGCCGAAATTGTCATGCTCCTGGGGTTAATAAGGATGCCATCAAACTGCGATTATTCCCATATACACTGAGAGATGCAACATTGGAATGGCTGGATACCGAACCAGATGGAAGTATTACCACATGGGAGGAACTAACTAGGAAATTTTGCAATAAGTTCTTTCCACCAGCTAAGGTAGCAAAAATCAGATTGGAAATTCAAACTTTTCAACAGAGAGATGGGGAGAGCTATCACGAGACATGGAACAGATTTAAGGAGTCGATGAGGAAGTGTCCACATCATGGGATCACTATTGGAAATCAAGTGCAGTATTTCTACATAGGACTTTCACCACTGTCCAAATCTCAAGTGGATTCCTCTGTAGGTGGATCGATCATAGGAAAATCAGTGCAACAATGTATGGATCTATTTGAGTTGATTGCTTCTACTCATACCATGTTTACATCAGAAAGAGTGGTGCCTCCAAAAGAGCGGGAATATATGAATTAGACAGTACAGCATCTACCAACGCCCAAATAGCAGCATTGACAAAACAAGTAAAGTTATTAGTGAAGTCACAAACAAAAGGAGCACATGCAGAGGTAACTGGCCCATCTTGCGAAAACTGCGGGGCAAATCACCTAACAGAAAATTGCACATCTATGGGCTTTCCGGAGGAACAAGTAAACTTGATTCAAAGTGGATCTCGAAATTTTAATCCCTTTTCACAAACATATAACCCAGGATGGAGACAACACCCAAACTTCAGATGGTCGGATAATCAGCAAGGGAACAGTTCAAACAATGCACAACAGGAGAAAACACCAAGTTTGGGCGAGATGTTCAACCAGTACATGCAAAAGACAGACAAGGTGTTCCAACAGATTGACATTAACTTTCAGAATCAGCAAGCATTCATTAAGAAGTTGGAAACTTAAATTGGTCAGATTGCTCAACAGCTTGCAGAACGCCCACAAGGGACATTGCCAGGCAACACAATGGTCAATCCAAAAGAGCAAGTGCAAGCTATTACGACTAGAAGTGGAGTGTAACTTCCCGAGATACATGTGAAGAGACCAGACAGAAAAGACAAAGAAGTAATGGATAAAGAGGCTGGGACAGAAACGGAGTCTGAACAACCAACTAACGAGGAGGATAAAATGAAAGAAACACCCACAGTGAGAGCACCTAGCCCCGTGAAAGCTTATGTGCCACCAATTCCCTTCCCTCAGAGGCTACAGAGAAAGAAATTGGACAATCAGTTTGCCAAGTTTGTGGAGATTTACAAGAAACTGCACATCAATATTCCATTTGCAGATGCAATTGTCAAAATGCCCAGCTATGCTAAATTCTTGAAGGAGATTCTATCTAATAAAAGAAAGTTGGAAGAACATGAGATAGTCTGCCTGAACAAAGAATGCAGTGCAATTCTATTGAAAAAGCTACCTCCTAAACTAAAAGACCCAGGGAGTTTCACGATATCTTGCACAATTGGTTCTAATTATTTTGAACATTCTTTATGCAATTTGGGTGCTAGTGTTAATTTAATGCCTCTCTCTGTTTACAGGTCTCTTGGATTGGGAGAGGCAAAATCTACAACAATCTCATTGCAACTGGCTGATAGATTAATCAAACGACCGAAGGGGATTATTGAATATGTGCTAGTCAAAGTTGATAAATTCATTTTTCCAGCTGACTTCATCATATTGGACATGGAGGAGGATTCAAACATCCCTCTAATCTTAGGAAGACCCTTCTTGGCTACCAGAAGAGCGCTAATTGATGTTTACGATGGAAATATGATTCTTCGGGTGGACAATGAGCAAGTCATATTCAACATGTTCAAGGCGATGAAACATTCACTAACTTCAGACACCTGTTGTCAAGTAGATGTTCTTGAAGAGTTGGTGGTAGATACATTTGAGACAGAGCATGAAACGGCTCTTTGTGAAGCAAAAATTGCACAATCGGGAGCAACAAGTGCAGAAAAAATTGGACGTGTCTTCAACTTGGCTAAGCAACCAATAGGAAGAAGACATTGGCAGTATGAATCTCTTGGTGACAACCCTTCACCCCCAGTACCTTCAATAGAAAATGCACCCACTCTTGAACTAAAGCCCTTGCCTTCACATCTCCGTTATGCATATTTGGGAAGATCCTACAACACTTCCAGTAATTATTGCAAATGACATGACAATGGAAGAGGAGAAAAAATTGTTGGAGATACTCAAGCAGCACAAAATGGCAATTGGATGGACAATAGCTGACATCAGAGGAATAAGTCCAACTCTTTATATGCACAAGATTTTAATGGAGGATGGGTCAAAGCCATTAGTGGAAGGACAACGCAGATTAAATCCAACCTTGAAAGAAATAGTGCGAAAAGAAATGCTGAAATTGTTGGATGCAGGTATTATCTATCCAATCTCTGATAGTTCATGGGTGAGTCCAGTGCATGTTGTGCTAAAAAAGGGTGAAATCACAGTGGAGAAGAATGCGAACAACGAGCTAATACCAACACGGTTAGTGACATGGTGGAGAGTATGTATAGATTATAGAAGCTAAACAATGCAACCAGAAAGGATCATTTTCCATTGCCATTCATTGATCAGAAGTTGGAGAGGTTGGCTGGTCATTCTCATTACTACTTTCTGGATGGATATTTTGGGTATAATCAGATAGCTATTGCTCCAGAAGACTAGGAGAAAACAACCTTCACACGTCCCTATGGAACTTTTGCATTTAGAAGGATGCCTTTTGGTTTATGCAATGCACCCGCAACCTTTCAACGGTGCATGATGGCCATATTCTCTAACATGGTGGAAAAATACATCGAGGTATTCATGGATGATTTTTCTGTGTTTGGAGATTCATTTGATGACTGTTTGGATCGATTGACTCTTGTACTGCAAAGATGTGAAGAAAAGAACTTAGTGCTAAATTGGGAAAAATGTCATTTCATAGTAAAAGAGGGGATAGTACTGGGCCACGGGATTTCCTCAAAGGGCATTGAAGTTGACAAAGCCAAAATACAAGTGATTGAAAAATTGCAGCCTCCTAATTCCGTTAAGGGGATCAGGAGCTTCTTAGGACGCAGGGTTTTACAGAAGGTTCATTCAAGATTTCTCAAAAATTACAAAACCTCTGTGTAATCTATTGAAGAATGATGTGTCATTTCACATTTCTGATGAGTGCTTAAATGCCTTTAACACTTTGAAAAAAAGAAGAAGTTAACTTCGACACCTGTAATAGTAGCACCTGATTGGGATCTACCTTTCGAACTTATGTGTGATGCTAGTGATTTTGCAGTGGGAGTAATGCTTGGCCAACGTAAAGGCAAAGTGTTACATGTAATCTACTTTGCCAGCAAAACCTTGACAGATGCTCAGATCAACTACGCAACAATGGAAAAAGAGATGTTAACAGTGGTCTTTGCCTTCGACAAATTTCGTTCCTATCTGATTGGTTCAAAGGTGATAGTCTACACTGACCATGTAGCATTGAAATATTTGTTTGAGAAGAAGGATGCTAAACCTAGGCTGATTCGATGGGTTTTGTTACTGCAAGAGTTCGACATAGAAATTCGCGATAAAAAGGGTACAGAAAATCAGGTAGCAGATCATTTATCAAGGCTAGAGCAACTCCGTGATTCAAATGATGTGGATATTAATGAGGACTTCCCAGATGAGCAGTTATTGCAGATAGAAAAGGCTCCATGGTATGCAGACATTGTTAATTACTTAGCTAGTGGCTATATGCATCCTGATCTCACCTATCAGCAGAAAAAGAAGTTGATTCATGAAGCGAAATTTTATTATTGGGATGATCCAAATTTATACAGAAGAGGGGCAGATCGGATCATTAGGAGATGTGTGCCAGAGGATGAGATGAAACCTATCCTTTCACGGGTTCATGCTTCGGCTTATGGAGGACACTTTGGCCTCACTAAAACAGCAGCAAAGGTGCTTCAATGTGGTTTCTTTTGGCCTACATTATTCAAGGATTGCCATAGTTTCTGCAGATCATGAGATAAATGTCAAAGAACAGGTAACATATCAACGCGTCACGAGATGCCACTTAACAACATTTTGGAGGTGGAAATATTTGATGTCTAGGGGGTTGATTTTATGGGTCCCTTTCCATCATCTTACAACAATCGGTACATCCTAGTGGCAGTGGATTATGTCTCTAAATGGGCAGAAGCTAAAGCATTGCTTACAAATGACGCGAGAGTAGTGGTGGACTTCATAAACAAACACATCTTTAACCTCTATGGATCACCTAGGGCCATAATAAGTGATGGTAAAACTCACTTCCGCAATCGGTTATTTCAGGCAGTGTTGCATAAGTACGGGGTACAACATCAAATTACCACTCCTTATCACCCTCAGACAAGTGGACAGGTGGAAACCTCGAACAGACAGTTGAAAAGAATTCTGGAGCTCACTGTGAATGCATCTCGCAAGGATTGGTCAAAGAAATTGACGATGCTTTATGGGCATATCGCACTGCGTACAAGATACCTATTGGGATGTCCCCATATCGACTAGTCTTTAGAAAATCATGTCACCTACCAGTGGAGTTTGAACATAGAGCATACTGGGTATTGAAGCAGTTAAACATGGACCTCGAAAAGGCTGGAGAAACAAGAATACTGCAGCTACATGAATTGGAAGAATTCAAAAGAGAAGCATATGAGAATGCAGCCATCTACAAGGAAAGGACGAAACAGTGGCATGACAAAAATATCAGGCAAAGAATTTTTGGAGTGGGAGATCAGGTACTTTTATACAATTCCAGACTTAAACTGTTTCCAGGAAAGTTGAAATCTAGATGGTCCGACCTTTTTACGGTCTCTCAAGTGTTTCCCTACGGCACAGTTGAATTACACCATCTAACAAAAGGAAACTTCAAAATAAATAGCCAACGTATCAAGCACTACGTAGAAGATTTTTCCACCGCTAAAAAGAGCCTTGACCTAGCTGTACTAGAATAAGAGCAGCACAAAATCCAGCTAACAACTTAAAAGAAGCGCTTATTGGGAGGCAACCCAATTTTCAAACTTTTTATTTTGTTTTTCGTATCGCATAGCATATAGTTTTGTTTTGTTTATTAGATTGCATTAGATTTAGGCACGTTTCAATTTTTAGGAATCATCACTCATATCCCTTCAGCCCGTAGGCCCTTGAATTTATTGTTGGTTATTTTGATTGTTTGAGTTAAGTAACCCTTATTCCTTATCTTTAATTTGTCAAATTTGATTTTTCAGGAATATGACGTCGTGGAACACTCAAACCAACATAGATCCAAGGGAAAGCACGATGAAGAATATTATCCAGTCGTCGACATATTGCCTCACACATTCAATAGAAAAATTTGGGGAGTACCTTCTTCTTTTTCTTTCCGACTCTCTTTATGTGCTTATTTATGTTTTATGATATTGAGGACAATGGCAGTTTTAAAGTTTGGGGGTGAAAAAACATTTAGTTTTTGTTTTTGTGTGTTTGTTAAAAAAAAGAAAAAAAACTCGAAAATTAAAAAAAAAATTATTTAGTTGTGTGCTTGTGTGGGTTAGATAGTCTGGCAGACAATGATGATTTTATTTGAGTTTTGGTGTTGATTTATGAATTGTGGATAGGATACATACTAAACTAATTGAAGCTCAACCTTGCAAAATTTGATACTACAAACGCACTAGAATTGAGTTTGACATTGTGATGAAATGAGTTGTTTCATGTTTGATATGTTGATTTAGTTGGACTTAGATGTCTTATCCAAACCATATTAAATTATTTGTCCTTAGACCAAATTTAGTACAGTTTGGGGGTGACTTTACATTTGTAGGAAGATGCAGATGTGAATTTGGATTCAATGTGTGAAAATTTATGTGTGGATTGTCTTAGACTAACGAGATAAAATTGGGTGAACGTTTTGAGTTGGAGGTCGGTTTTCTTGAATAAGTGTGTGGTAAGGGGCATTGCAGTAATCAAGGTATATATTTTGAAATTTAAGACGTTTCTCTAAAGCCTTTATGACTCGAGTAATTAAGCCTGCAAGGGTATCTTAAAATCTGGTGCCCTGAAATCGTCTGACTTGGGAGTCATCGGCTTAAAGCTCACTAAAGGGTTATTTAGAAAGCAATAAGAGATGAAGTTGCACTTAAAAAAAAAAAAGTTCTCTTCGAAGCCTTTTTGACTCGGGTCAGTAAGTCTGTAAGGGTGTTTAAAACCTAGTGCCCTAAAATCATCTGATTTGGGAGTCATTGACCTAAAACCTGGTACAGGGGTCATCTAGAAAGTTTAATGGAAAGAATGCAAAATAAAAAAAAAATTAAATTATGGAAAAAGACAAAAGCAAGTGCATGAAAAAGCAGAAGCACCGAATACCTTGGTTAAGCTCCAACACTTATTTGAGGGAATTTGACTTTTGATAAAAGATAATTACCCTAGTTGAGTCTTGGAGGTTGAAGTAATCAAATAATTGGAGAATCCATGTTCATTGAAGTGTTGACTTGTAACTTGTAACGTCCACCTAAACTCGAGAGGGTGAGGATAGTAATGAAATATCCAACTTTAGGTTGCACACTGGGAAAAAAGTGAAAAGAATAAGTTTGGGGTGTGTGAATCTTACAGAGATGAAAGGACATATTTGACCACTAAGGGTTGAGAATTGGAATAACTTGTGGACTCATTAATGTCTACTTAATTCTTCACACACACACGTCGATTTTGCATTGGAAGAGTGGATATTGATTTAGTATTGTGACTTTGAAGCGGTTTGTAGATTTAATACTTTGTTCTTAATTCCTGTATTTAAAAGCTAAACTGTCCAACCAAATATTTTTACATGCTTGTGTATTGGTTATTATTTAGGTTATAGTTTTATTTGAGGACAAACAAATGTTTGAGTTTGGGGGTACTTGATAAGTGTATTTTATACACTTATTTCATACTTAAAATAATGATATTTAAGGGTTCTTTCGACAAATTATATCCTAAATTCTTGTATTTTACGTTTGATAGGTAAATTTTATGAACAAAAAGAAATTGAAGGAAAGAGGCAAAAATGGGCGAAAAGTGGCAAAATTCAAGTACAAGGACTACATTGCATTAACTTAAAAGATTGGATGGCTTGAAGGGCAATATAACTTTAATTGCTTTGAATTGGATTCCTTTAAAGTCAAATATTGCTGCTAGGTTTGGGGGGGGATATATATACACGCACAGAAAAATTGGTTGCTGGGAGGAACTCTCTCTCTCTATATATATACACACACGGAAATCGAGAATCAAAAGAAGGTGGGCTGCTGCCATTAATATATTATAGAACCACACGTGAAAGCTGGGAAGAAGAATTAATTGAGGCAGCCAATATTCTACCTTGTTACACACACTTTGTTGCTGAAATTAATCTATATAAACACTGAAATTAGAGCCGGGTAGGGAGAGATTGGACTCCACTTTGGAGTCACACATTACGGCTCCGACACGTACAAAAAACTGAGAGAGAAGAGAAATTGAAAGCTGCTGGTTGCTGCATCATTATTCTTATTTATGCACATATTTTGAGGGCAGTAGCTGGGAGTTTGTCTGGGAATTAATTGGCAGCAGCTTTGGGGTTGATTAAAGTAAAAAATTGAGGCTGCCTTTGGGCTGAATAAAAGAGAAAACCAAAGCAGAATATACACAAAAACTGATACAGAAACCGTGGCTTCAACTTGACTTCTTCAATTAATAAAATTGGCGGCTGCTAATCACACACACAAGACAAGGGGCTGAAATTGAAAGGAAGCAGACACGGCAAAAGACGATAGATTCAGCCTTGCAAATTATTTACGTGCCGTCAATTGACCCGGTGATGAATTTCCTAATAAACTTGTGTTTTTCTTTCATTATTATGCGTAGCTAAATCAAAATTAGAAGCATAGTGTTGGATCAGGATGTCAAATTTTTGAGTCATTTTTGGAGAGTTTTGTGGGGTAAGTTAGGCACTAAGTTACTATCTTCCACAACTTATCACCCACAAATGGATGGACAAATCGAGGTAGTGAATAGGACTATGACTCAATTGTTACGCACAGTAATCAATAAAAATTTGAAGAGTTGGGAGGAGTGTCTACCATTTGTTGAATTTGCATACAATCGAGCTATTCACTCTACTACGTCATATTTTCCATTTGAAATTGTATATAGTTTTAATCCGCTAACTCCTTTGGATTTAATTCCTTTACCTGTGAATGAACGTGGTAGTTTAGATGGAAAAAAGAAGGCAGAATTGTTTAAGTCACTCCATGAAAAGGTAAAAGCGCAAATTGAAAATAAAAGTAAGTTGGTTGCGTCGCAGGTAAATAAAGGTAGGAAGCGCATAACATTTGGGCCAGGAGATAGGGTTTGGGTGCACCTTAGGAAGGAGCGATTTTCGAAGCAAAGGAAGTCCAAGTTGCAACCGAGGGGTGATGGTCCATTTCAAGTGATTGAAAAGATAAACGACAATACTTACTAGTTGGACTTTCCAGGTGAGTATAATGTTTCGGCTACTTTTAATGTATCTGATCTCTCTCTGTTTGATGCAGATTTAGATTCGAGGATGAATCATTTTGAAGAGGGAGGGGATGATATGATCCAGGAGTCGAGCCTGACGAAAGCTAGTGCGAGACGAGATCCGTTGATAGTCAAGGACAAAGCAAGTGAAACAAGCGATGGGATTGCTAGTTCAAGAAACCATTGATGGAACCATGTTCGGGACTCAAAATGGAGCAATTTTCATGTTTAGGTCGACGGCCGATTCAACTTGGATCAATTTAATATCGAAGGCCAAAGACGGAGGAAAATAATAAGCCTATGCGATCGCATAGGCTTATGAGGCTTGCGATCGCATGGAGGTATACCGAAACTCAAGATGGGATTTTTAGTTGAACCATGCGACTGCATGGAAATATACTATGCGGTCGCATAGGCAAAAAATTTGGCGAATTTTCTAATTTTGACAATTTTCTATATTTTGTTAGTTTTTTTATTCTTTTTCATATTTTGGAGATTATGATCGACTTTTGCACGATTTTTACCTAGTTTTTAGGTTTAGTATAAATAGGAGTTTCCATTCAATTATTAAAAACTTTTGACATTATTGATATTGAATTAAAGTGAGGCGTATTGTCTTCTCTTCATCGTTCTTCATTGAACAATTTCGAACTTATCAAGTGTTAACTTGTGGTGTTCAAACAACCGGATTTAATTCTTGGATTGCATGATCAAGGGCTCTTTCAAGCGTCGTTCTTGTTGGATTTTTTGGTTCGACTTTCTTTTGGATTAATCCTAAACTCTTGGATTAATTTGGCTTTCTTGAGTTCGTCAATCTCGTTGTGGTTTCGTAGTCAACGTTGCTACGGGGTTCGTATCAGTTAAGTCAATTAGTAAAGCAAATGTATGAGTTTGAGAGAGCTTTAGACATGAACCTTCAAAGTAAAAAGTGAGTTGGCTCTGGAAAGTGATAGATATAATAGTAATATGGCTAAATAATAATTTGAGAGTCCAAATTTGCATTCTTAAAATTACATTAAGTATGAGTTTTTATAGTAATAAAAAAGGTTAATAGGAATCGTTGGATGAAGAGTCACGTGGCATCATCCGTACTACTAATGTCTATTGTCAAAGAAATCAACAAATCGTAAGCATTAAATGCTATTATCATTTTATCATCCATAATACCTAACTTGCAACTTTAGACTTGATCTGATAGGTTGGAAATGGCGGCGATTGCAATGAATTGTCACATTAATCACATACCAAAGATTGCCTGGTATAGTCTTTGAAGTTCATGTATAATTATTCATATACTGGGTGTTTGATTCCCATTTTTCCTAAGATATATTTTTCTCTATTTTCTTTTCAACCACATATTTTTCATTAAAATAATATTACACATAAATAAAAAAAATTTCTTTATTTTTTAACCACACATTCTTCGTCAATCTACTATTCTGAAATATATTCTTCA